TCCGATAAGTCTCCGATCTGCCGCGGGAACGTCCCGTCGTACTCGCTCTGGTAGAGATTCAGGACCTTGAGGCTCGAGAGGCGTCCGATCGTCTCCGGGATGTCGCCGGAGAATCCGGTGGCTCCGAGGTCGAGATACTCGAGGCGCGGCGAGAGGCGGTGGATATCGGCGGGGAGCGAGCCGTTGAAGTTGTTCTGGGAGAGATCGAGGCGGCGGAGGCTCGTGCAGTTGAAGAGAGACGTCGGAAACTCGCCGGGGAAGTAGTTGTAGGAGAGGTCGAGGGTTTGGAGGCTCGGGAGGTCGCAGATGTTGGGAGGGACGGGCGCGGTGAAGTTCTGGTTGCGGAAGTTTAGGCCGGTGACTTTTCCGGCGAGGCAGGTGATGAACGGCCATTGGCAGGGGGGTGACGTGGCGTTCCAGTGGCGGAGGGAGGGTGGGTTGTTGAGGAGGTTTTTGAGGGTGAGAAGCGTTGACCGGTCGTCGAGCTGGGAGATTACGGTTACGGGGATTGAGGTGAGGAGGAGGAAGAAGAAGAGGAAGGGTAAAATGGTCATTTCGGTTTGGTTTGTTGAGGTTTTTTTTTTATTTTTGCCGGGAAGTTTCGAGGAGCCTAAGGTTGACTGCTAAATGGGAAACCAACTTCGAAGAAGCTGAGGTTTTATAACATTGTGTGGCTTCTAGGTGAATGGTGAGTGATTTGGTGAGGTCAAAGTCTGTGATGCTGTAATCAAAAAATGTTATTTGGATTTTAGGTATTAGTTAAGTCACTTGCTTTTTTTTTAATCGTTTATAGCCTTATAGGTAAACGTCTACATTAATTTTGAATCTAGATATGTATGACCCATCTGAATACAGTATTGTGTTTTTGTATCTCTTTTTGGTTGCTTATTTGGTTAACTAGTGTTTTGTTTGAAAAAATGTTAAGAGTATGGAGGAACAAAATTAGTGAAATTTAGTATTTTATTATTATATTTGGTAAAAATATAGCCGGAATTAAGTATTTTAAGTTAAATATATATATATATATATATACAAATAATTTGAAATTTTGAAAAAGTGAACAGACTTTGGAAGAAACAATGTATCTATACACTACTAGGTGATTTTCCCGTGCTCATGCACGGATATGAATATTCATAAAAGTAAAATTTTATAATAATTGATTAATATTTAGTTTTAATTTTGAATCAATTTATAGAAATAATTTATATTAATAAATACTATATTATTCTAATTATACATATGACTTTGGGTATATTATTGTCGGTTTAATTATTTTTTGGATCAATAGTCGGTTTGGTTCTGAATTTGGTATATTAGATAATATCTATTTTCAAATTCATCTATAATATTTTTATTTTAAATATAATAAAATTTTGATTAATTTTCTTATTTTCATTTCGGTTGGTTATTGTCTTAGATATGTAAATATATTATAGTTAAATCATGTATAACTTAATATATTGTGCTTAAAACGAAATAAATAATAAGCTGAAGTGTTCGATTTAAATTTACATAAATAAATATAATGATAAGATCTTGAAGTCTCATGCATATATATAAATTCTACAAAAGAATTAAATTGTAATTGGTTAATATTTTTTTTTTAATATTCTTTTAGTCAACCTCTAATTTATATGTACAAAATTAAATAGATTATTACTATTAATATAAAATTATATGTTCTTATTGTAGTTAAATGTTTAATTTTGGATATAAATTAGATTAGTCAAGTCATTCATGTTGTGACTATATTGAGTTGAATATATTTTTAAATTAAAATTGAAGTATAATTACTTTTTATTTTAGTTAAGTCAAATCAAATTAGTTATATTTAACGCTTAAGTATACATGTATTTTCATAATACTTATTTACTCTTTAATTTAGTAAAGTCAAAATAAATTAGTTTTATTTATCGCTTAAATATACTATTTTGTGAACTTTCCTTTTAAATAAAATCATATTATATACATATATTTTCGTTTTTTTTTTAATTTAGAAATATTTCCTTTTTATTATCTATGTTATTTGTAAAAATGTAAAAAGGAAAATAAATGAAAAAATTAATAATAATCTTAAAATCTAATAATTTATTAAGGGTATTTATGTAATCAACCATCGTGTGAGAGTTAACGTGAGCGCGACATGTAGGAAACTGACTTCTCCAATAATATTATAGAGATTTTGCAGAAAATCTAGAGGAATGAATAGGTGGAATTGATACTTTATGCTATTCAATTTTGTTTCACTCTTTTTTTTTATTTTATTAACTCCATTAGCTACTATTTTTTATGTTTAAAAATATTTTTTGCTTTTTGTTAATACTATCATTTTTAAAATCTAATACAATTTGTATTAATTTAAGTTAAATAATAATGGTGATTTTTTTTCCTTATATATAATTAACATCCATCTCAAAAAGTATTGGTTAATAAATATAACTATATATTTTCTTAATTCGTGTGATAGTATTATAATAACACTCTTCATAAAAGTAACAAAGTATTATTTAAACCATCTGTTTCTAATTTTAGATTTTTTCTGGAAAAAAACAACTGATGTTTATGAATACTTATCAAAATATTTTTTTCTAGACACTAACTCTTGTTGTATTTGATGACTATTGTGGATATTTATTGTATTTGATGACTCTTATTGTAGAAATTATAAGTCTAGGACACTAACTCTTATTGTATTTGTTGACTATTGTGAATGCATTTTCAACTGATAGATATTTCTCCCATTTTCAGGTTAGAGCTAACCAAAACTTATCTTTGGATAAATATGTTTGAACCATACTAAAATGAGTTGAATGTGTTTGATTTAGTATGGTTTCAAGCATATTGTGAAGGGTTTAGGTTGGGCCGACAACATCAAGACGTCATGGGCCTACTCGCCGCAAGCCCAACACCTGTTGCACCTGATCAAATACAAAGCAGTATATATATGTAAGTATTGTGATTAGGTAAAAGGGAAGTTAAGCAGCAACAAGCAAGAGTTTGATTACGGCAATAGAGATTGAAGCAGCTAAGCACAAGAGAGNTCAAACATTCCAGTACACTATTTTGGTGGTGCTGGAGTCTCTTTTGTTCTAGTGGATTTTGGGAGCAGGAGATCTCCCACGAGACGTACCGAGCCGAGGGCCGGGAACTCGTTAAATTGATTGTGTTATTACTTTCAGTACTAGGAAAAGATCAGAGATAACTTCTAACCTAAGTAACCTAAAGCTAATAAACTTAACAATTGGTATCAGAGCTTCCGGGTTCTAAGGCTACTTAGGAAAGAGAGAGAGAGGTTACCAGCGTTGTGTTTTACCAATGGGAAAAACAAAGGAACGCATTGAGATTGACCGGTTCGATGGGGATGGTGATTTTGCTCTATGGAAGGTCAGGATGCTTGCACACTTTGGAGTGCTTGGATTGAAAGCTATTCTAACAGATGAAAATCTGCTTAAGGATGAATCAACTTCAAAGGAGGAGTCCGAGTCTCCCATAAAGGACACGGGAAAGGGGTTAGCTGGAATTGTTGCACCTCCACCTGCAATTGCGATTGACCCTGAAAAATTCGAAAAATCAGAGAAAGCAAAAGATCTGATTGTTTTGAATGTTGGGAACAAGGTCCTAAGAAAGATTCAACACTGTGACACTGCGGCTGCAATGTGGAGCACGTTGAATACCCTATACACAGAGACTTCACTACCTAACAGGATTTATCTACAACTAAGATTCTACACTTACAAGATGATTGATTCAAAGACTATTGATGAGAACGTGGATGATTTTCTAAAGCTGGTAGCAGATTTAAATAACCTGCAAGTCGAAGTTTCTGAGGAAGTTCAAGCTATCCTATTGCTAAGTTCTCTACCAAATAAGTATGATCAACTCAAGGAAACTCTCAAGTATGGGAGAGATACGCTGAGCCTAAATGAAGTTACTGGTGCAGCAAGGTCCAAAGAGAGGGAATTGATCGAGAGTGGTAAGTTTACCAGGTCAGGTGGAGAAGGTTTGATGGTTGAGAGAGGTCGATCAGATAATCGGAATAGCAGAGGGAATGGAAAGAACTACAAAGGCAGATCTAAAAGCAGGCATGGACGTTCCAAGTCACGACCAAAGTATAATAAAAACAGCAAGGGTTGTTTTATTTGTGGGAAAGAGGACCATTGGAAGCGAGAGTGCCCTGACAAAAGGTCATCAAAGCCACAAGACTCAGCGAACGTAGCAGAAGAAGCTAAGCAACCCCTCATCCTCACAGTCAGCACACAATACACAAAGGATGAGTGGGTAATGGACTCTGGATGTTCATTTCACATTACCCCTGATAAAAGCTTCTTATTTGACTTGCAAGAGTTTAAAGGAGGGAAGGTGCTGATGGCTAACAACACTCACAGCAACATTCAGGGAATTGGGAAGATTAAAATTCTAAATCCAGATGGTTCTATGGTTATCTTAACAGGAGTTAGATACATGCCAGGCATGAGCAGGAATTTAATTTCATATGGAATGTTGGAGACAGCAGGGTGTCATTATGAAGGCAGAAATCTGGAGGTCAGTTTCTTCAAGGATAATAAAAGGATACTTTCAGGGAGATATCATCAGGGGTTATATTATCTACAAGGAACGGTCTTAAGGGGAGAGATAAATCTTTCTAAAGCTGAGATGAATATGACTAATGTTTGGCATTCTCGCCTCGGTCATATGAGTCTCAATAATATGTCTGAACTTGTCAAACAGGGATTTATCATTGACAAGGAGGTTAAGACATTAGATTTCTGTGAACACTGTGTTATTGGTAAGTCACACAAGCAGAGTTTTCCCAAAGCTAAACGTGTGACTAAAGGAATTCTGGATTATGTTCATTCTGATTTATGGGGTTCTCCGTCTACACCGGATAGTCTTGCTGGAAATAAATATTTTGTCACATTTATTGATGATTTCTCGAAAAAGGTCTGGATTTATTTCTTGAAGACTAAAGATGAGGTATTCTCTAAGTTCAGAGAATGGAAGGCAGAAGTTGAAACCCAGACAGGAAAGAAGATCAAGTACTTAAGAACAGATAATGGCTTGGAGTTCTGCAATAGACAGTTTGACGAGTACTGCAAAAAGGCTGGTATTAAAAGGCACAGAACATGCACCTATACTCCACAGCAGAATGGAGTCTCAGAAAGGATGAACAGAACAATTATGGATAAGGTGAGATGTATGTTAGCCGAATCTGGCTTGGATCAAAGTTTTTGGGCTGAGGCTGCATCTACGGCAATCTACTTAATAAACAGATCGCCTAACTCTACTCTGAAGTTCAAGCTCCCTGAAGAAGTGTGGTCAGGGTGCAAACCGGATTTAGGACACTTGAGGACCTTTGGCTGTTCAGCATATGTACACGTAACAGAAGATAAAACTGGTCCTAGAGCAATAAAAGGAGTATTTGTAGGATATCCTATGGGCACTAAAGGATATAGAGTTTGGATACCCCAAGAAGGAAGATGCAGGACGAGCAGAAACGTCGTGTTCAACGAGGAGGAGCTATACAAGCACACAACTGCCACAGAGGAAACTAGCAGTGATGACCCTTAAGGCAAAAGTGTAAGAAAAACAAATAAACGAGTATCGTTCAGTGATGATTTGATCAGGGGACCTTCTAACAACTCAGACACTGAAGCTCTCACTGATCAAGGTGGAGATGACTCATCAGATAGTTC